AGGGTGGAGGGCGTGAAGGGAGGGCTAGGAATGGGGAAAAAATAAGAACCAAGATGCATCATGTAAAGGTACAATTCCCAATGAGAAATGTAAGTGTGTTGTAGACCTACAATGTACCAATAAAAGAAATTAATTAAAAAAAGAAGCATGTTGTTGCTGCACTTACAAAACCATGGTATTCTTTGCTCAGTTCATCCATCAAATATGTAAAGCCTTTTAGGGAAATTCAGCTAGTAAATTTCCATCTTCCCGGACACCAATCACTATCCCAGCAAACTTACTGGAAAGAGCAGCATTGCTATATTTTAAACAAATGGTTCAAAACTTACTACAAATTTGTTTGGTAGACTTTTAAAAAACAAATTATAAAAAAAGTTTGTATATCTTAAAAATGAGCAGTTATGGGAGTTGTTATAGGTGACTAACAGGTTTTGGCCACAAAATCACATGACGTTGGAAACAATCCCAAATACATATTTTCAGGATGCTTCTCCTATCACTGCTTCTTGTAAGGCAGTTACTTCCCACTGATTGTTAAAGACTTCAGTTTTACCTGGAGGGGACAGATTGTGTAAGCTCTTCTGCTTTTTGCTACATGTGCTTGGTAAGAACACTGTGGACATTCTTCCCTGCACTGCCTTCTGAACATACCTAGAACATCAACCCCTATACCTGAAGATCCCGCTCAGGATCCCCGCAGCTCTGCTCTGTCTGTCGCTCCAGGACAAAAGGCACACAGGACTGAAGTGATGTCTCCATCTGGATCCCACATGCTTCCCCTGTAGGTCCCAACCTGAGTCCATGAAGCCTAGATCTAATTCCTTGCCAAGCTTTCTAGGATAGTTTCCAAAGCCCATGTGGGCCCCAGGGCAGACTCAGTCACCTGAGGCCTATGGTAGGCCAAAGAGGGACTGTTTCCAAAGAGTGATGAACAGAACTTGGCCAGGTAGGCCACTCTCTGGGCTGAGGTAGGAGGACAAGGTGTTGGGCTAGGCCACCCCCATGGAGAGACAGACTGTGGTCCCGAGAGAGGGCCAACCTCTCCATAGCAGGAAGTCCCACTGGTCATTGTTTGGTGGGTGGACAAGTGACCTAGAGTGGGAGCCAACATCATTTGCATGCTATAGGGGGCCTCTTGGGGTTGAGGAGTGACTGCAAAGAGAAACCCCAGGTTTATCATGCAGTAGGCCTCTCCTTTCTCACTTCCACCTCCAAATTCCCCATGTTAGCTATCTCTTGCTCAGTCACATCCTGAGATTGTCTAGAATTAGCTCACTGCTGCTTCTTGGTCCAGGCCTTCCTTTTGGTCTTAGCTTCTTTTTCCTGGGCTGCAACTTTCAGTAGTCACTTCTGAGATAGTCTACAACATGTTCTCTGCTTCTCAGCTAGATGATAGTTTAGCTGGGTATAGATTCAGCTGCCCTGATGGATGATAGTTTACTTGGGTATAGTTGTTCAATGATTATTATTTACCTTCTGGGCAGTGTAGATATTATTTCCCTTCCAGTTGGTATTTCAGCTACTGCAGCTGCATTTTTTATCAATCTTACTGTTGCTCCTCTTAGCACCTACACTTTCTCTTTAGCCACCTTTTAAGTGTCTCTTCTTTTTTGGGATGCTGTGTTTTGACCTTGTTCAAGTTTCAGAGTACATCTCCCATCTTTCTCAGTTTTTAGTCACTTTCTGTTATGGGCTGGGTTGTGTCCCTCACCCTCCTCCCCAGAGTATGAATGCTTGAAGATGGAGCATTTAAAAGCTAATTTTTTTTTTTTGGTACTGGGGATCAAACTCATCCTTGCACTTGCGCAGCAGGTGGTGAAACCACTGAGCTAAATCCCCGGGCCCTGAAAAGCTAATTTAAAATGTGGTCATTTGGTAGGGAGGACTTAATCCAACATGACTGGTGTTCTTATAAGAGACCCATCCAGGGGCTGGGGATTTAGCTCAGCGGTTCCACCGCCTGCCTCGAAAGTGCAAGGTCCCGAGTTTGATCCCTGGTACCAAAAAAAAAAAAAAAAAAAAAAATAGAGAGACCCATATAGAAGAAAACCACATGAGGATACAGGGAGGAGAAGCCATCCTCAAGCTGAGGACAGAGGACCAGCAGCCTTGAGACACCTTGACCTTAGACTTCCAGCCTCTAGAATAGGATTCAATAAATTTTTGTTATTTAAGCCCCAGCCTGCGGTATTTTGTTATGGCAGCCTTAGTAAACTAACACACTGACAACCTGAGAAAGTCTTAATCTTTATCTTTTTCAATATTGCCTCTTTCCCATTCCCTCCATTTTGCCTACTCTACTTTGAATATGTACCCTTCCTCCCCAAACTCATGTGCTGGAAATAAGACAGTGCTGAGAGGTGGGGTGGTTTTAGGAGATGATTAAGTCAGGGCTCTGTCCTTATGACTGGGATTAGTGTCTTGGCAGGGTTTGAGAGGACCAGCAGGGTCCTGTGCCTCTCACCTACCATGTGAAGACATAGCAACAAGGCTCTGTCTTGGAAGCAGAGAGCAGCCATCACCAGACATAGCACTTGCTAATTCCTTGATCCAGGACTTCTGTTTTCCAAAACTGTGAGCAGTGCATTTATGCTGCTTATAATTACACAGCCTTGGGTATTTTGTTACAGCAGAGGAAAAGGATGAAGACACCATCTATGCTGGGTCATTTCATTCTATTTTCCTCCTTTAATGTTCTGTATCATAAATAGTTTTTAGTCTTTCTGTGTTGTTTTTTTGGATCATATTTTTATCCTTAAATTTTAGTTTATTAATTCTCATTTCCCTTGTGTTTTTAGCCTTTCCTTTGAGTTTTTTATTTCTGTGATTAGATTTTTTATTTCTGCAGTTTCTAAATGTGTTTCTTTGGAAAATCTATTAATTCTGCCTTTTGTTTTATTATTGTTTTTATTCTTTCATTTATCTCTGCTTCAAGGGGGCACACCCCCACTGTGTCTTTTGCTTGTTGAGGTTTTTTTTTTTTTTTTGGTACCAAGGATCGAACTTGGGACCTTGTGCTTACAAGGCAGGCTGCAGAACCACTGAGCTAAATCTCCGGCCCACTTGCTGGGGTTTAAAAATTTTTTTTTATTAAAAAAAGGTTTTTTTGGTACCGGGGATTGAACTCGGGTCCTTGCACTTGCACAGCAGGCGGCGAAACCACTGAGCTAAATCCCCAGGCCTGGGTTTTTATTTTTAATTGGTCCCTTTTCCTCACGTGGCCTGGATGGTTTGTTATGAATGTGTCCTCCAGCTTCCTGAAGTGTTCTTACAGGAACATGTGTACTTTCTTTTTCCCAGGCACCAGGGACTCCAATCGCTTACACAAGTTTTTGTTTTAATTTCTTAGCCGAGAGCCATGCACAAAACCTTGCCCCGCCATGTTACATGCTTAGGGCTCTTATTTCTTTGGGGAATATTTTTCCCATTTAGGTCTCTGGACAGAGGGAACACATCCTTGCTGACTTCTTAGAGCAGTGGCTAGAACTCATCTAGTCTTTTTAACGGACAGGGCTTACACAGGAGGCTGTGGTGCCATCTAGGCCCGCCCACAGCCTTGTCTCTTACCTCACCTCTGTATTCTCCTCCCTGACCTCACCTGTCACCTCTCCATGGCTCATACCTGGCCTGCCTTCCCCGAGGGCTGCTCCCGGAGACAGTTCCTAGGACAACCCTGCCTTTGACTTCTCATTTACTCTGGACATTGCTGATGAACTTTTCCTTTCAACAAAGCTATCTAGCCAAGATTTTATCATCCTTGTTGAGGATTCTTAGCCAGGTGGAGGCTCACATTTCATGGGGAGCACAATGCCAGGGCAGGAGGAGCAAGGGAAGGGGGATGGAGGAAGAAAAGAGGAAGACGAGACCAAGGGAGACCATGGGCTTCTGGGGCTGAGAACCTGCTGGTGTCCAGTGCAACCCACTGGTGCAGAGCCCCACCTTGAGCAGTTTGCCAGTGCCACCCACAGAGCAAGAGTCCCTGGTTCCTTCCAACAAGGAGGAGGGGCAGAGCCCAAAGCTAGCCTTGGGTGGGCAGTGTGTGTCAGGGTCAGCACCAGGCCTGGCTGTGCTCCACGGAGCCACCCTCTGCCACAAGTGCCCCCGTGTCCCAGGCTCTCAGCAGCACCTGTCACCGAGACCTGTGAGGGGGAGAACAGAGATGCCTCCTCCTCCACCCGTCCCTTTAGAAATGGACTAGCAGTGGGAGGGAGGCTCAGGCTGCGAAGAGGGTGGAGGAGACTTGATGCCACAACTGGGTTTTCCTGGGGTGTGAGGGGAGGGGCATGGCCAAATGAGGGGTGGGAGTCTCTAGGTCCCCACCTGAGGCAGGGTAGGGGCATAGAATCGGCTGTGCCACCTGCCTGCTTGGCAGGTCCTGTCCACAAGAGGTCCAGAGATAATTGGTGGAGGCAGTGCAGGACATAGAAACTGCTCCATTGCCCTTGGTGGGGCGGGGCCAGGACTGTGTGGTAGGGAGAGGGTGCTACCCAGACCTGGCCTGAGCTGGGGCAGCTCCTGGGCCCAGGGTGACAACTGCAGAGTGGAGGTTCCCCAGATCTTCCAATTGATGGTGTATCCCTCATTACTTGCATTCTTGAACCCTCACCTCAAAACACTAACGGTCTTTCTTGTAAGCCACTAAACACACACACATTTATTTTAAAGTCCAATATGCAGGAAGGCAGTGTAATCACTAAACAACAGCATGTGTGGTTCACTGGGAAACCGGGGGCCCAAGTGAATAAGGCTTAGAATGGCTCCGTCTCACAACAGAAATCTGCTGAGCAGTACTGTGTGTTCAAATCCATCTCTATGGACAGTAGAGATGATTATGTCAGCTGGAGTTTAAGGTGACTCTTAAAAAAAAAAAGCAGTAGGCAGGCACAGTGGCACATACCTGTGACCTCAGCATTCTGGAAGGCTGAAGCAGAATCTAGCCTGGGAAACTTCGAGAGACCCTGTCTCAAAATAAAAAAAAAAGTCTGAGAATGAAGCTCAGTGAAGGCATTGGATTCAACCTCTAGTTCCACAGAAAAGGAAGAAAGCGGCAAATGAAGGTAATTTAAAGGTAAGTCAATTTAAAAGTCTCTTCCTGGGGCCAGGGATTCACTTCAGTGGCACTGCGCCTGCCTCACATGCGCAAGGTCATGAGTTTGATCCCCAGTACCCAAAAAAAAGTCCCTCACAACCAAGCACGTCCCCGGCACCTGTGTCCACATGCAGCTCAGCTGGCTGGGTCTCCTCTCGGGGACCTGGAGACGGGCATCCCCTGCCAGGCTCTTCCGACCTCCAGTGAGGTTAGAGGGAGGCTGGTCACGGTGGGAGGCTCAGGACCAAACCACAGTCATTCTAAGTTTAGTCTTCATGTCCTGGGGCGATGCAGAGGAGGGAGGAATTTAGCTGAGTCTGTGCGAGAATCTTTTTAAAATAAAAGGAAAGTCCGAGTGACCCATCCCACATTGCTGCCTTCATGGGGAATGTGTGGGTGTGGTTTTCTTTTCTCCTATTTATAAGAAATATTAAGGACCTTCCATATGAAGGAGGCAGGAGCAGAGAGGCTCTGCTTGCAGGGGATGGGGCAGGGTGCAGAACATGCTGCCTCCAGCTGGTGTCCACTGAGCACAGTGAAGCAATTGCAAGGATTCCAGTCCTCCTGCACCACCCACATGTTGCAGACCCCATCCATAGCTGATGCAGGGGCTGCTTACAGCCAGGACTCTGTCTTTCAGGGCTCAGAGCCATCTGCTCCCATGCACAATGGTGTGAATTTAAGTTACTGATGCTGGGATAACTTGGTGTCCAGGACAAATGTCCCCGCCGGTCACTCACCTGCAGAGCTGCCTGCAGAGAGAAGAGCAGGGGCCAGCCACAGTCCTTGTGCTCATCCCTGCTTCCAGCTGTGGGCAGGGGGCCTGGGAGGGTGGCCTGGACCAGGTTCCTGGGGAAGGAGAAGCCACCCAGAAGGAACTGCAGAACCAGGTCCGGGGGAGCTCCAGCGTCTCTGAGAAAAGTATGAGAGAACTCAGGCTCCCCACTGTTTCCCAGAGTCCCCAGACACCCATCCACGCATACCATCTCCCTGCAGCATGTCTAGCTGCCTTCGTCACCTCTGTGGCAGCAGGGCTGGCCCACAGTGCTAAGGTGTCACAGTGCTAAGGACCTGGCAAGTGACACAGCTCATGGCCACTGACTGGCTAGGAGCAGCAATGGCAGAGGGCATGGGAGGACCCCTAACTTCCCTGCCCAACAAAGCACAATCGCATGAACAGTGAAGGAGTGAGTCCGGTGGGTTGGTTACAGTTCTTTCATGGTGGTACTGGGGCTCAAACCCACAGCTCTGCCTGTCAGGCAAGCGCTCTGCCACTGAGAAACACCCCCTCCCCAGGGCCCCTCCCCTTTTCTATTTTGAGACGGGGTCTCACTAAGTTGCCCACGCTGACCTCAAACTCTTGATCCTCCTGCCTCAGCCCCCGGAGCTGATGTGCACCACCACTCCTGGCTGTGATGGATATAATTCTGATGTCAAAAGGGAGGAGAGTGAAGTCCAGAGCACTTTGTTTTGTTTTGTGTTTTCCTTTGTTTTCACCAGAGCAGCTGCGCAGGCCCTGGCCTCTTGCCTCCTGATCTTCTCTGGGTTCTGCTTGCTCTCAGAATCTTGGGGCCCCACAGGCCCGGCCCCACCTACCCCAAGTATTTGATAGGTCAGGTGACAGACCGGATAGTGGGTGGTGGAAGCGGCAGCCAGGCAGCTGGGGAGCAGTCCTCCTGCAGCCCTTCTGGGGTGTGCGGAAGGCTTCAGGAGCAACGTGGATTGTGGGCAGGATTTAGTGTGCCTGCTCCCCACATCCCGGCTCACCACGAGGTAAAAGTGTGCTCCTGTGCCGTGGGCTGAGCTCGAGGGTACAGCCAGGTGAGCCGTAGAGGTGGAGGTGGACTGGCCTACAGCCTGGGTCAGCAGGGCTGCACGTGCACTCACACTCAGCTCTGGCTCCTTGCACGGTACCTGCTGTCCAGGCACAGAGGCCCTGCAGCTGGTAGAGCAGTGCTGTGTGGCAGGACTGAGGGCCACGTGACAGGGCTGAACTCTGCAAGGGCAAGGGGGTGGGGGAGTCCTTCATGTCGCAGGGGATTTGACATTAATTACCACCGTGACTGCTTTCTGTGTGTAACTATTTCACTTTTAGCCATCTAATATGGAGCTAAAGACGGCTCCCGCCCCCTCCTTCCAGATGTCCCAGCCTGTGAATACGTGGCCGCCTCCCAGCTCTCTGGTGGCAGGGATGTGTGTGACAGTCAGGAAGGCCAAGTGCTTGGAGACCTCCTAGGGCTTGGTCTGACATCACTCGAAGCAGCTGATAATTATCCGACTCCTTCCCTCTCCACTCTCCACACCCCCAATAAGCACCCTGCAGTTATTTATAAACGTGGGCCCCTGGGTGCACCACTCCAGGAGGATGGTGCTGAGAGTGCTGTCCGTGTTAATGCAGCACAAGGAGGGAGTGGGGTCTCAGCAAGGGGAGGGTGGTGGGTCCCGGGGCCCCCAGCAGCTGAGGCCTGGCCCAGGGGCTACTGCCCCGTTCTGTTCCCTGCCTGCAGACCTGCTTGGATGGGTAACACGCCAACTAGCCCCATTGTCTTGTTTGTCGAGTGGAGCCAAGAGATGAGCTGCTCTTTTCCTTCCCAGAGTTGGCAGGAACTGGAAATAATTGAAAGTTGTTAGGGGCCCCACACACTGCCCTGAAAACACTATCATTACTCTCCTAATGACTAACTGTCTTCCAGGAGGAAACGCAGGCAGCTGAGAGACCACAGCCTCCTGGGGAGGCAAGGGGGGGCGGCTGGCAGCTTGCAGTCTAGGGGCAGGAGGGCCTGCCCAGCCCCAGACTCCAGAGCCACGTCTCAGGGTCCCTGAACCCTGCTGCCCAGAGTTCAGGAGGGCCCGGAGCAGGGCCACGCTGTCCACGTGTGTGGGAGGGTCCGCCACTCCCCAGCAAGGCCCTGGGCCTTTGTGGCAGGCCATCTTCCAGCATGGCAATCCTCCACCAGGCCTCCTCTCCTCCTGCCCCCTCCTCCCCAAGCACAGACTCAGCCTTGAGGCTCCTGCTGGAGCCCTGCTTGCTGCTATCCAGATGCCCTGGAGGGGAGCCCACAGCCCTGGCCTCTGCCCCTTCTCTGCAAAGACTCATGACTTGGCTGCTGCTGGGACCCCCAGCCTCTGGGGAAGAGCTCCTCGATATGCCTTCTCACCCACCCAGGCTCTTCTTTTCTAAGGTTGTCTTTGGATTACACAGGTGACATTTGAAGTCCCATGTAAATGCACCCCTCCTGACCCATCCCAGTGGCTGCCACCTGGTCTATGTGTAGTCTGAAACTTTCTCCCTGTCAGTGGATGCCAGGGGCATTTGTCCCTGAGGCCTGCCTACCTTTAGGGGTGCCCATGCACCTCATGGGGATGATGAAGTGGCTCCAGGCCTCCAGGGACCTTCGAGTCTCCACAAAAGTGGGCAGGCTTCCAGGAGTCCACTTAGGCCTCCAGAGGGGAGGGAGTGGAGTGTGGGTCCCTCTGCCCAAAAGGTACATGACTGTTGCTGGGTTATGGCCCCGAAACGAACTCCTGGTGAGTGTGAAGAATCTGGGTTCTCAGGGCTGGGTAAGAGATGTGTGGGCTCAACCTGAATCCCACCTGCAGCCTGCCTCTGCACCCCATTCACCTGGATGCAAAGGAGCGGGGTTAGCAAGGTGGCTTTCACTGGATCCCCGCAGAGGTGCCTAATCCGCCTCTTGCCAGGTCTACGGGAACCCTGCAAATCAGGTCTCCTTGTCCCATCTGTGGAAGACTCATCCACAAGACTATTCTGACATACCTGGTGGCCAGGTTGACCCCTTGTTCAAGGCCTTAGGAAACGAGCAAAGTTGACCCTTGGCTCCAGGGCCAAAGCACCATAAGGACGGGACACAGGGCTCTTACTGCTGCCGAGGATGTGACCTGGTTCACCGCCTTTGGTGCTGTGCTTTTAGCCTTACTGATAACGGGATACAATCAGAGATTGGAGAGCTGGATGAAAACCGAAATAAGCCGAAATAAAAGCAAAGCAAAGGACATCGCAGGAAGGGAGACAAAGGATAATGAAACAGAAACAACCAGACATTCTGTTCCCAGAGGACATCTTCGGCAGCAGGTCTGCGCCTGGGATCGCCACTGTCCCCGAGTCACCTGAGGACAGGTGTGCCGGCCCAGAATCTGGGGCCCCGATTCACGGGCAGGGCGGGGTGCGTGTGGGGTCCGCGGGAGCTGGGAGGGTCTCCTCGCCCCGCCCCGCTCCGGGACCGCCCCTTCCAGGCCAACCCCTCCCCTTCTGCCTCGCCCCGAGTGGCGGCCCCGCCCCGCCCCCTAGTTTCCCCCGCCCTAAGTGGCTAGCCCACACTGCCCCGCCCTTCTCGGCCAGAGACCCGCCCCCTTCCCCGCCCCTTCGCTTACGGCCTCGCCTCTCTCCCTGCCCCACCCCCGTTCTGGCCCCGTCCCGGTGGGTGACTGTAGCGCGGGACGCCCCGCCTCCTACTTCCCTAGTGTGGGGCCCTACCCCGGCCGCCGAGGGGCCCGATCCCCCCAGGGCCCGCCTCCGCCCCTCGAAGCTAATTGGCTTCCTCCTGGATAACTTTCCGGGATCGGATTGGCCCGCGGTGCCCGCTTTCGCGGGCCCTGCCCTTGGGCGGGGGCGGGGCTGGTGGCTGCGGCTGGCTCTTGATTGGCCAGTGGCGCGGAGGGGGCGGGTCGCGCCGCGCGCAGCGCTCCGGCCGGAGCGCGCGGCTCCGCTCTCGTTGCCTCAGCCCTCAGACGCGATCTCCGCGGCTCGGTCGTCTCAGCCTTGCGCCGCGCCCGCCCCGCCAGGCAGTCGTCGCGGCCCGCAGGCTCGCCGCCCGCCACGGGCCAGGTGAATGCGTGTCGCGGGCCGGGGCCGGGGTCCAGCGCGCCGCGTCGCCCTTGCGTGCGGGCACAGCGAGCCCTCGCGAGCGGCGGAGGGACCCGCGGCCCGGGAAACTTCGCCCGGCCCGGAGGGCGGGTGCGGCGCGCCGCGGGCCCCTGAGCTGGCGGTCCCGGCCGGGTGGAGCCTCTGGGACCGGAGCGGAGCCGCGGGCCTGGGCTCGGGCGGGCACAGACCCCTCCCGCTGCCGCCTCCCTCCGGGCCGGGCGCCCGCCTGGTTTCCGTCCTCACAAGCGCTCCGCTCGCGCCAGTGCGGTTAGGGAAACTGTTAGACGCTCTTTGGGCCGGCAGTGCGTTCTGCTTTCCTACTTCGCAGTACGTTACTTGGGTGGGGAATCCGAAAGTTAATGAAGTTGGGTCCTCGGACTGGCTGTGGCCCCAGCTTCCTCGGTGCACTGTGGCCGCAGGGTCTCGCGAGCCCTGCGCGTCAGCCACGAGGACCGTTGTGTGTGGCGCACCGAGCGGACCCAGGCGGCGGCTCCTCGGTGTGCAGACTCCCGTTCCAGGCCGATCTTCCGGACAGGCCAGCGCCCCTCTTGCTGAACTTGGCGACTGGGGCTAAGCGTTGTCCCGTTTTCTTATCTGGACATCTTCAGAGCCGGGTCTCAAAGGGAGTGTGTAGGGTGCTTCCCCACGGAGGAGGACGGCCTCCCTGTCCCGTCCTCTCGGAGCCCAGAGAGGAGGGTTTGCAGAACGGTTCACTCTGGAGGAACCTTGGATCTCAGGGGTTGGAGAGTTCTGGGTGGTGTCGTCAGATTGGAGAGGCGTCAGCAAGCAGGGGCCTCAGATCCAAGCGCAGATGCTGACCAGCTGAGGTCTTCTGCTTCATAAAGTGTTGTTGTTTGTGTGTAGATGTTTTTGTTCAAACAGTGAAGGTCTTAGATTTATATTACTTCATTATTTCTTAGTTAATAGTCAGTATTATAAGGTTTTGAAAAAGGTTTGTAGTAGATGAGTCTTTATAGTTGAAAAAGTGACCACACTGTCTAAAATTCTGAGCTGAGTTTTTTTAGTTGTTTATGAGAAAACATTCAAAACATGGGTGCATCTTAGCTCTTTTAAAAAAGTGTTCCTTTTCCTTGTTGGAGAGAGCCTGAGAGCATGCTGCATTTGTAAATTTGAAGTCTCACGGGGTCCATGGTACAGTAAGCCACCCAAGGGTGGGTGCTGTGTTGTTGTTCTTGGATGTGCAGCCCTGTGTCAGTGGCAAGTCCTTTCAGTTTGCTCAGAAATCTTAGGGCTTACTATAAAGGTGATCACTGAAGCAGATTTTGGTAGATGGAAGTTGTTCATCCCCTTGGTGAAGAAAGCTGGTGGTTTGGAGCATGACAAAGAAGAACATTTTGTGCGGGTGTTGGACTTGCCCTGTCTTACACAACGTGAACACTCTAGGTTTTGGGCAGCTGGAGTGTCAGCTTCCAGCCTGACCAAGGAGTCTGACAGGCAGCCATGGCCCACTGTCCATGGTGCTGAATCCTCACCCTCCATTTCTCTGTGTGTAGGGGATGTTTTTTCTCCTTTCAAACTTCCTTTCCAGTGTGAAAGTGGTTTTTGGAGTATGCTTTAAAATTAATCTCAGAACTCACATTTTAAAAGTTCAATCTCAATGGAAACACCCAAACCAGATCACTAGTATAAAAGGGAGGGGGAGGGCAGATAATTGTGCGGACTCAGCATTTACTTTCTTCCATTTAGTCTTTCTACGCTCCAGGTGGGAGTTTTCTTGCTAGAGTATGAACATCAGGTAGCAAAGCACTAACACTAAATGAAACTGTTTTCTTTATAACTATCCTCTAACAGAAACAACTCTTTATTACAATATGTACGTATATCTATATTCAAGGGCAGTTTGTCTCTAAACAGTGCCAGTCATAGCATCCGCACACCTCCCAGCCTTTCCAGGAGAGGGGCTGAGTGTGTGTGGTGGGCTGTTGGTGGTTGCCATGCATTCTCTTTCGTTTAATTTTGAAGTCTGTAAATCATCCTAGATAAATCCTTTATTTTCCTTGAGGTTAATTTTGTCAGTTATTCTAGAATTGCCTCACAGGGTAGCAATACAGTATAGTGCTGCGTGTCACTCGTGGTACAGAGATTCTTCTACATGACAGTAAACTGTGCAGCAAACTAAGCTGTGGATTGTTGAGGTGGTTTGGTATGATCATTTGAACTAGATCTGAGGGCACCTTGGGGAAGCCTTTCTCTGCTTCATCCAGTTCCAGGAGTACTCTCTGAGTGCCTGCTCTTTGCCAGGCCTGGACTATGATCTGGTACCTTCAGGAAGTGAGACAAAATTCTTGTCATTGAAGGGCTCCCCAGTTCAGACAGGAAGGAGATGTAAACAGATGGTTACAGGGGACCATGCAGTGCTGCAGTTGGGATACACAGAAAGACTGGTGAGTGTGTTGAGAGGGATTCATTAGACTGGGAATCAGAGAAAGCTTCAGAGAGGAGGTAGTGTTGGGTTGAGCTCTAGAGGATGAGTTAAAATATTTTGGCACAGAAATAAACTGGTATAAACTGACTAGAAAAAGAGGAGAAGATTGGTGTGACCAGAGAACAGAGTGTGTGCAGTCTGGAGGCTGAGGTGTGTGTGGGGCATTGTGAAGGAGTTGGGACCCTGATGGGATGTAGTGGGAGAAGAGCAGAGGTTGTGTGGTAGGTTGGGTAACAGCTTTCCAGCACTGTCCCACTTCCTAATTCGCAGAACTCGTGATGTGTTAGGTTACTCAGCAAGATGAGTTAAGATTGTTGTAGGTATAGTGCTACTCATGAGCTGATTTTAAAATAGGGAGATGATCCTAGATTACCTAGGTAGGCACAAAGTAATTACAAGGATCCTCAAATGGAGGAGGGAGGCAGAAAAGCCAGGGTCAGAGTGATCTGAGGTGAGGATTCTAGCCACCATTTCTGGCTTCAAAGATGGAAGAGGGTTGTGAGCTAAGAAACACGGGCAGCCTTGGAAAAAGATGAGAAAATGGATCCCCTAGCACCTCCAGAGAGGAGCTCATTCACTGATTCTCAATTGGGAGACCCAGGCCTGACTTTGACCTCCAGAACTGTAAGAGAATAGATGTTAATTGTGTTAAACTACTAAATTTTGTTTTGTTTTGTTTTGTTTTTGTTACTGGGGATCGAACTTGGGTCCTTGTGCTTGCGCAGCAGGCGGTGAAACCACTGAACTAAATTCCTGGCCTAAACTACTAAATTTGAGGATGTTGGTTGTGACAGCAATAGGAAACTGATACAAGTTGGTTCTGTGCTCCATGAAGTCTGAGCTGGTAAGTTCAAAGGAGGAAAAGAGATGATTAGAAGATAAAATGGTACACTGCTGTTTGGTGGCACTTGCTCAGGTAAATATGGTTCTGATTTCCAGTTTCACCTGCTGGACAAGACTGGCATCTGATGTTGTTCTATCTGACTCCCACTTCCAGCTTCCCCCTGGCAGTGCTCAGCCTCCCCCACTGATTGCCATGGTACATTGACTCACCTTTCCTCTGTGCTGGCCGGGTGGGACAGAGCCAGGTATGAACTCCTGGGATTGTGAGGTCACAGCCTCACTGCTGTAGTCAAATTCTTCACATGCTCACCAATCCTTTTTGTCTTTAGGTGTTATAATTTTCATCAATCCTGTAGGTATGAAATATCTCACTTTTAATTTGCATTTCCTTGATTACTAGTGTGTTTGAGGATTTTTCTTCCATTTTTTTGTCTACTTGGGTTTCCTCTCCTATAATCTTATATTGTAATCTTTTTTTTAATTAAAAAAATTTTTTTTCTTATATTGTAATGTTATATTGTTTTCCATTGGTTGTTTGGGTTGTACTTTTTATAGCTTTTTTAGAAGTTTTTATATATTCTGGATTCTATTTTTGTGTCTTATTCTTTATCCTTTTGAAAATGCTGTTTTGATGAACAGATGTTAATTTTACTGTAGTCAGATTTATCAAACTTTTCCTTATGGTTTGTGGTTATTGAGTCTAATTTGAGAAATCTTGTGTTCCTTCAAGGACATGAGATATCCTCATCTTAAAAAAGTTTATTATATTCTACCTAGAACTTCTTTTTTTAATGAGGTATGAGGTAGAGATCCATTTTAGAATTTTTCCCAATCCCTAATCAGCTGTGCCATTACCATTTATTGAGAACTGTCTTTTTCCTAGTGCTCTGCAATGCTGCATTTAGGGCTAAACAAATTTCACAAATGGTATA